ACCAATTGTATCGTTTTGGGTCGGTGGCTATAGGGAGAATTCTTTTCGCAACTGTAACGCCTGGCTTACTACCTGCGAAGCAACAGCTGTCCCTTCTGCACTCGCCTCCTACTCCCTTTCTACTCCGGGCAACAGTGTCTACAGCGATATCACATACTCTGGAGGCTTCAAATGGGATAACATTTTTCATGTTTAAGAATGTAGGTAACGGGGATTTACATCGGTTGATTTTTCCATGTTTTAAGATGCATTCAAATTCAAGTTGAACGGATTTGATGTGAAGGTTCATTTATTTCCGTTGGAATAAATTGATGGAGCATTCGGGTACTCTCAATTGGATTTGAAGTACACATTTATCCTGAATTTTCAGAAAACCCGAGGTAGGGTAAACAGGTCGATTTCGGGACGATTTCAACTTGCATTGAATATTCCACAAATAAAATGAAAATTGTATTGATTATTTCCCCTCTCCATAATATCACTTGTGTGTAATCATGTGATCAGTTATTTTTTTCTATTGATTAACATTTAATAAAAAAAAAAAATATGACCCAGTTGTCCAGAAATTGTGGGTTTCGGGTACNGTAATCATGTGATCAGTTATTTTTTTCTATTGATTAACATTTAATAAAAAAAAAAAAATATGACCCAGTTGTCCAGAAATTGTGGGTTTCGGGTACCTTCAACTATTTCTCAATTTTATTCTTTGTTTTGTTATTTTCACTTTAAACAATTTTTTTCTGCTAATTAAAACATTCTTGAGGGTATGGGAGTCATCATATCCCCATTTAGGTGATTCTTTTATTTTGAATCCTACCACGAAACTCGAATTTCCTTTCACCGTCCAGCAATTGACCTGATCACCCTATTTCCTTGGTTTTCTGAATTTTTTTTTATTTTAATTTTTTTAATATCGATATCATTCCAAAAGACTATCGGAACTTCTAGACATCCTTGAGATGGTCGACGGAAGGAAGAATGGAGAGCGGTCCGCAACAATCCGATATCGATGACGGACGATTGTTCAAAATGTTTATTTCACACAGTCGTTAACCAATAGTCGTTAACTCCTCTTCGTCCCCGTGCTTGCACGTTGGTTATACAACGATACTCCCGGAGAAATCAAATTGACAGTTTGAAACATCGCCTAGTACTAGGATACAATGGCCAACCACTAAAGCGAGAATTAAATTAACGATTTCTGTTGGCTCTACAATTCGTTTTGACTAACAGGTTTGCTCTCCATAGCTTTGAAAAAACGATTAATTTGACTTTTCGACAGACACGACGGCTTGTTTCTCACTCAATGGGAAATCGATGGGAAGAGTCAATCTTGGGTGCATCAGGGGCTTGCTGAGCCTAGGAATGATACGAAACTTTCAGCACTTGAGTCTTGGGGATGATGTAATTTTAGCGAATTTCTATTGAGCTAGATTTGATCTTTTTAATGGTTATCCCGAAGGAATATTAAGAAAAAAATTCTAATATCTGAAACATAGTTGAGACAAGTAATTTTTCTTCAAGCGCTTCATTCTCCCCGGCATCTTAACGCACTATTCTTGTATTCAAGTATGATTTTTTTTCAAAATCCACATTATTCACTGTGATTTTGATATTGTCTTATATGCCAGGTTCATATTTGAGCCACACGTTAGTAATAATCTTAATCCTTCCATCGGGGCATCCTAGTGAGAAATTAATGTCTGAATGTTCTTGTAAAATTACGCTTAGGGAAGAAACGTGACCGTGTGAACTTTGATCGAGATGTTGCATGGGTTAGACACTCAAGATATTGAAAAAAAAACCACAAGCCATTTACTTTAGACTATGGAGAATCTATCGCCGGCGAGAACGAGTAGGGGACCGGGCCACATAGGCGTGATATCTTCGATTGATTTTCGAATTCCTCTAAAAAAAATTTGACCGCCATTACGAGTCGAGCAACGCGACAACACCGCACAACAGCCGATCGATGTCGGTAAAGTCGATGACGATAATTCAGTGCTGGAAGCATATGGACACGTATAACACACACAGACATTCATCTCACTGTTACAACCCCATTACTAGCCGAAGCGTGCGATGTTGCCCGATCAAAATTCGATTGTTACCACTGCAGTCACAAGTCCTCCATTATCTATGAACATTTTCTTTAATTATTGTTTTCGAGACCGATAAAGTACGCCATAACACTTCTAATTTGACGAAAAAATAGTTTGTAACATAAATGATTTATTTAGTGAATTTTATTTTTCTTTTCAACTGAGTTAAAGTAATTTACTTCTCGTCAATTCTCCATGAAATTTCGTTTTTCAACATTTCCATCCACACAAATAGGTGCACTTATCAATTTTCAATAAAAATATTGTCGAAACGAATGAGAAATTCATCAATACAGAGATTTATTTGATTCAAATGGGTCATTGCTCCAGGCGTTGTTCCTCAAAAATGAAAATGAAAAAAAATGCTGTGTTGAAACCGTAAAAGGTACTTGGGTACCCTCAACTACTCCTGCAACAGATGAAATTAACCGCTGGATACGACAGCCGCATTATTCCTCTGTATCAGACAGCGTCTCAGAGTTTATAACAGAAGCAGGCGCTGTTTGAACGATCGATGCTATCAGAGCCGGGTAATCGTCCGCTCGTGTTCTCGAACGCGATAACCAATGATTCTCCCGCCATTGTTCCGGCCACGAGTACCCTCTATTGAACAGCCATCCATCAGTCAGTTTATGGAAATTTTTTATGAAGAGGCTGCTTGTTTTTTCCGCCCAGGGGCTAGGAACTCCTAAAATCGCGGTGTCACTTGTCGATAAAATCAATTCAAAGTCACCCGGGCAATAACTGAAATCTCTGACATCAGGGAATTCACTGAGGGAATTCACTGAAATTTCCGATACTCCCGAGTTAACAATTAAGGATATTTCAATATTTTTTTACATTATTAGATTTTTTTTTAATTTCATCGAAGAGACACGGAGTATAAAACATACTTGATTCAACAATATTTTATACTTGAATGGGGGATGGAAGTTTCAATTCGAGGATGATTATTTCGTATCAGCCCGGGTTGTACCAAGCGCTCTCAAGTGTAATATAAGGGTCAGACACTAAGTGTGAGAATATAAGGGTCAAAAAGTGGAAGTTAAAAAATGAGGGTCGGAATATTAGAGTCAAAAACTGAGGGCCTGAATGGCAAGGTGAAGGAATGAGCGTCAGAATATTAGGATAAAAATATTAGGATTAAAAAATTTTGGCCCTAATATTCTGACCCTTATTTTTTAACCTCCACTTTTTGACCCTTATATTTTGACACTTAGTGTCTGACCCTTATATTGCACTTAAGAGGACTTGCTACAACCCGGCCTGATGCAAAAGAATCATCTTCGAATTGAAATATCCATCCCCCAATTGCGTATAAAATATACTTGAATCAAGAGTGTGACATTGAGACTGACATTGAATCCGATTAAGGCAAAAATGGTTACAAAATGTCAAGTTTTAAGTAAAATTCACGGAAATTCATGAGTTTTCCTTGGGAGTGAGTTAGAAATGTCACAAATTGATTGAATTTTCAGTGAAACATGAACATTTAGAAACAAAATAACACGAATTTAAAATTTTTCCCTGAACTTTCCTGATTTTTCCACATTTTCACAGAATAATTAAACCGAAAAATCAAATATTTCGTTGATTCCCAGACCACTTGTCCCGAAAATCAGTAGAATATTTCATCTTTCACCCTGAAACTCCAAATGCCTAATTACCACCCGATTTTCACCCCCGATAGCCCCAGAAATCCCGGAAAATTGGGTCATTTTGATTCACCATAATAGAGTACAGTCTCTCCCGTCGCCGAATCCCCGATATGTACACCAATGTGCGCGCGCAATCGATACATCAATGACTTATTCAAGGAACGAGTTGAACGCTGATTGTGAGCACTCCCCGATTTCGCTTTCACAGCCACTGAGTTAATTCTGCATTTCACGACTACCATTTCCCGTTCAATCGCCCTGTTTTTCCCCCGCTAACTATTAGGTACACTGATAGAATGATTCACTTATTCCAAACGAGATTCGTTAACTATTAACGAATGGTAGAGTTGAATATGACCAAATGAATATTCGTTAATAGTTAACGAATGGTTCACTTGAATGGCGAAAGTCAAGTCAAACAAGGCTCCTCAAATATACATTCGTTAACTATTAACGAATGAACATTTGGTGGGACCGAATAGACCCAAACCTCCAACCTAAATTCATTCGTTAACAATAACTAATCCGTTCTATCAGTGTACATCAATTTACTATTATCCAACGACCCCGAGAGCATTGACGGCGAGAACATGAATTGCGAACGCCGTTTTGCATCACTCGTATTGATATTTGATTTTTATATTCTTATGTGCTGTAGCCACTCTGCGCTTCCTCGAGCCTTTTTTTACACTCTGAAACGGATGCCAGAGTCCTCCGATTCTCGCCAACCAGCCGCTTCTGTACCCGAGCTTTGACCCAATTCCAGGGTAAAATATAGAGTAGGGTAAAGTATTGATATTGTTCGCAAGCCGCAAACATCAGAATATGTGTTATTTGCCTTTTTCCTTCTCTTTTATTTATTTTTCTCAACGTCGCGCATCTCTCGTGGAACCCTACTAATCACATGAACAAGCCCTTGGTATCACAATATATCGTGGAAAAGTTGCCGCGGAGGAGGGGAGGGGGAGGGGAAGACAGAGATACGTGCTTTGTACGCCTATATTCGCCTGAACGAGAAATGTTGCGCTTCAACGCCTGTACGATACGTTGTACAAAGTTTTTGCAGTACCATCGACCTAAAAAACAAAGTTTTATGTATTGTGGAGAACGAGTAGTTTGAGCCAAATGCAGAAGCCAGACCCTCGCCGGCTGGCGATAGATTCGTTTGTTTATTTAATGTTCGTTAATAGTTTTTATTCAGTGAGGGGGAGTCTAAAGGGTGATTTTTCTTTTCTTGCAGGATGAGAAGAATCAACTGCTGATTACGAACTTGTGGCTGAAATTGGTGAGTAGTTGGGTGGTTTTTATTGTGTCTGTGAAAGATGAAGGTTTTGTGAAGTTCGCAGAGAAAAACCTAAACGTAAATTACGTTTATGAGGTCGTCTCTTACGCTTTCGATTGCATAGACGTAATTTACGATTGACAAACGCAATTTATGATTTGATAAATGTAGAAGACGTTTTGTTTAAAGTGGTAGGAATTTTTGTCTGAATTTTCCGTGCCAAAGTCAGGAAATTTTTATCGGGTTGCAGTTTCACTGAAATTTCAGGAAATTTTGTCATTGAAAATTCAGAATCTCGTGGAAAAATGAAACAGGATTGTAAATTTTCGTTCTGTTTTTCCCTGAAAATAAATAGAAAGCCAGAAAATTGTGGAACATATATTCTTGAATTTTCAGGATAGTGACACTGAATGCGATTATTTTTCAATAATTACGGGTATTGGTCGGATCACTTCAAAAATTGGGAGGGAATTACTCACAGCCTTAAAATTATTCATTAATTTTTCACTTACTATTCATCTTTTGTACTCATTGAGGTTTTTCCCTGTGTATCATTCATCTTTGTAGTAATGAATTTATGATTGTATGAACTTTAATACATTTGAAATTGAACACAATGATTTTTTATATCCCGTAAATATTCAGTGCCGAATTGAGATGATATTTCCTTATTCTCACTGGATGCGTGAACTAAAATCTAGTGATTCTCATTTTATGCATCGAATTATTTTAAAAAAATGGAATATGTGATTGGTCGAATTCCAATGGAAATGTCACTCATTAAAAATTTCAGGAATTGAAAAATTCCTACACTGAGAGAAAAAATTATTCCTGCCAAGGATTGATATTCTCGTCAGAAGATAATATTTTTTCAGAACGAATTTTTCCAGGACAGTCATTTTCAGAGAGTCCAAGGCTATCCTCAAAAATTACAGTGATGTTGAACAATCTGATTATTATGCTACATATGACCTTGACAAAATGTTCTCCGATATCTTCCGGATTTTACAAATTGGCGATTTTCTCAGGTAAAGAAAATTGGAATAATTCCAAATGTTAATAATTATTATTGGAGTTTCTTCGAGGTCATATGCAGAAGAATATTCTTATAGATCACCATAATTCTCACGCTTGGAACTGATTTCGGAGCACCTGGAAATGACTGGCCTGGAGAAATACGTTCCAAAAGAGATATTTTCTTCTACTAAGAGTATGAAAAAGATATCACCAATAACATTTTCTTGGAAGGAATAAATTTTTTTCTCAGTGTAGACTTGTAGATTTGCAATCCTGAAGATGGAATGAACCCGTTGATATGCGAAAAAACAAAAAATTGAATGATGAATTTATAATTGAACAATGTGTGTTGGTAATCCGAGAATAATTAAAATAGCTCTGCTGACGCCGTTCTTTTTCCCTGTTAATTAAAAAGTATCAATAATAAATACTTTATATTGCGTGTGGACGGATGCTAATATTAATAAATCATCAATAGTGCTGTGTGAACATTACCGCGTTAAACTACACGGAGACCCCCGAAAAAAGCTACTTATGGTGTTACGGATCTCACGAGAGCAATAAAACTCCTAATCACATCGGCACACGAAACCTTCAACGCTCATGTTTCCATTCAGCCATTTTACCTGACCATCAATTCACCTAAATAATCCGTGGAACAATTACACCCCCAGAATCACGAAAAACGGCTCTGAGGGCTCTCTTACCTCCCGCTCCCCTCACATCAATAATAAATAAAACATCAAGCCACTGATGATGTTACTGATCCCCCCAGAACAGTAAAAACCTTAATCACATTGGCACACGAACATTTTCATGTTCATGTCTTCATTCAATCATTTTCCCTGAACATCACTTCTGCTGAATAGTCCTTGTAATAATTCTGTAGTGAAGTGGTAAACTACGATGAGTGCAATTTATTTGAAAATTTTTTTATTGCTTGAATCGAAAGTTCTCTCAAAGGTGTTCAAATTTTGGAACTCTCCTGACAAATTTCCATTTTTGCACTTATCCTACACTGAGAGAAAAACAAACACGTTGTCAAACAAGTCTTGTTTGGGCCAATAAAATCGCTAGTTGAAAATTGCCAAAAAAGAATTTGTTTGGTTCGAATTTGAAAGTCTCAAACATGAATAATTGTTCTGCTTTCGACAGCAACGAAATATTTGGCTCAAGAGGCGGATAATTCACACCAGACGGTGCCTTTTCAGGATGAAAATATCTCATACAGAGGAAAATTTATCAACAAATATTTTATCCCTAAGTTACAAGATTGCTATCATATCATTATTATTGTTTCATTTCTTGTCTGCGATTATTAGACAGCCGAGACGAAAAACTACTATCCCTTGTTTCGCATAAAACAAAGACTTTTCTGGAGCAAAATACGTATGGGAGTATCGAATAACGAAGGAGTAGCGCTAGAAATGACATTTCTTGCGTGTGCAGAGAATACCATTTTTTTTGAATTACTAAATCTATTTTAGCGACAAAAATTTTTCATTTCGCCGCCATAATTTTCAAAAAACTGTTTGCTTGGCACAAGTAAGACTTGTTTGAGAACTTCGTCGTTTTTCTCTCAATGCAGTTTACCACTTCGCTACAGAATTAGAACTATAACCCTGAAGATTGAACGAATCTGTTGACAGATTAAAAATCATGAAGTGTAAAAACGGCTGTTTGTTCAATCTGCGACGCATTAAAAACTGCTCTGACGACACTTTCTCCTCTCCCTCAAAGAGCATCAATGCTAAATAAAACATAAATCCACACGGGAACCCCCGAAAACACGGAAGCACTTGTGAAGTTACGGATCTCACACGAGCAATAAAAATCCTAATCACATCGGCACACGAACACTCCAACGTTCATGTTTCCATTCCACCGTTTTACCTCACCATCAGTCCAACTAAATAGTCCTTGGAACAATTACACCCCCAGAATCACGAAAAATGGCTCTGAGGGCTCCCTTACTTCCCTCTCCTCTCGCATCAATAACAAATTGCTATGATTACCTATTTTACCATCTGAATGTATCCCATTATTTCTCCATTCTCCTCTTATCCTCGAAACCTCTGTCGTTCCTTATTCTTCTTTTTTTTCAACATTTTAACATGTTTTGTTTTCATACCGCCTCCTTAAGGATGTTTAACCTATCAAGTGGACATCTCAGTTAAAAAGAAGAATAAAATTGACTAAATAAATCATTCACGTTACAAATTATTTTTCTCATCGAATTAGAAGTGTTGTGGCGCACTTTTCCGGTTTCAAAATAGTTATTTTCATCACAAGGTCTACAAAGTATTTTCTGACGAATGTGGCTTTGTAGGCCGACCCGAAGGCGAGGCCTATAATCACATTCGTCAGAAAATACTTTTGGACCATGTGATGAATGCCATTTTTCGTTAGAAGGCCCGTAAACCGCGATCAAACCGAGCGAAGCGAGCGAACCGACCTCGATCAGCTGTTGTGCGGTGTTGTTGCGTTGCTCGACTCGTAATGGCGGTCAAATTTTTTTTAGAGAAATTCGAAAATCAATCGAAGATATCACGCCTATATGGACCGGTCCCCTACTTATTCTCGCCGGCGATAGATTCTCCATAGTCTAAAGTAAATGGCTTGTGGTTTTTTTCAATATCTTGAGTGTCTAACCCATGCAACATCTCGATCAAAGTTCACACGGTCACGTTTCTTCCCTAAGTGTCATATTACAAGAAGTGATTTTCAGAAATTAATTTCTCACTGGGATGCCCCGATGGAAGGATTAAGATTATTACTAACGCGTGGCTCAAATATGAACCTGGCATATGAGACTGGCTTAATTCAATAAACTAGTTTTAATATTTACCCATGTGCATTTCGAAATAAAACATCAAGCCACTCGTAATGCTACTGATCTCCCAAGAACACTGAAAACCCCAATCACATTGGCACACGAACATTTTAATGTTTATGTTTCCATTCGTACGAAATGAGGGAGAGGGAGCGCACAGAAGTAGTTGGAGCGAAGAATAAAGAGTAGTTACACTCGAGTGAGATGGAGGATACCTATGCATACAGGTACTAATATTCAGAGGCTTAAGTACTCATTGAGTTGAGAGTTGTGCAGAGACAGCCATGCAATGACCCAAATTCAATGTTAACGATTGTGCCGGGGCGCGGGGGCGGCGGGGCGGGAGGGATGAGGTAAAAAGTGAAGATGAGCGGAGGCAGAACATTCCACTCGTTCTATTTATCTCGCTCGGTTGCCAGACCAATGTTGAATCGATTTTTCTTCATGTCTGGTATTTCCATTTTTGTTTCAATACTCGTGCAGGAATTTTTCCGACAAACGACCAACCAGTAATTCCCTTCCCAACATTGTGCAATCTGTCGGCAGATGTGTCGTTGGGCCAGATTTAATTCCTTCACTTGTTCGTTATCGTTTTCGTTGGATTTTCAATTATATTTCGGCATCGTATATTTCCCTCTCACTTCACTCGAGGGGTTTATCTATACGTATAGCAGGGCATGCGGGTATACCTCGTTAGTCACCATCGTGGGACCTCTTCGATTTGCATTTGTGAGTGGCCTCTCTTCTGCCGTTACTCAACATCGCGATGAATGTGGTCAGGGATTTACAATGTATGTGTTTGTTTTTGATGGTGATAATTGAGTAAACGGGGAAATAATGAGTTATGGAGGGGAGGGATTATGCTGGGGAATTATTTGGGGTAATTGCTAGGAGAATTTATATCCGGCTTCGGGAAAGACGTACCGCGAAATGATTTATAAGGTGAAGGGGTGGTTAATTGTTGGCCAAGTCTTCGTGGAGGGGGTGGGGGGGAGAAAATCCGGGGAGATTGGGGAAATCGCCGGAATCGGCAAGGTATTACTCAAAGTTGAGAANTGAGAATTTTTTTTTGTTAGTCTCTGGGTCTAATCTCGGATGTCTTTGTGGGGGTATTTTCACTGAGATTTCGAGGAGTTTCGCACGTGGAGAGAAA